TTCTAAAGGAAGGGAAGGATCACTTGGTTGATGACACCAATCTCGATATAACACGCATCATTCCTCGGTTACAGAAATCGGCAGCGCATAGCCCGTCTAGAGGAATGGCAAAATCCAAGCAAAGAAACGCATCGGTTAATTCTTTTGATACGCCACGCAAACGCACTTGGCGCCGCCGTTGTGCATGCACTTGCACAAAACAGCGTCGTTTTGGGAACCCTTTTGATTCTTCTTCTTGGCCACCACGAACTTCCTCTGCCGGATCCTGTTTTGCGGCGATCGCGCAACTGGGTTGCTATTATTGGACTTGGAGGGTCTCAAAGCAGGGGACTTTGAATTGGGGCTTTTGAAAGGGCTATGGTGGTGATGAGGCACGTTAGGGTTCAGATTTTCGGTGTTTTTTGAGGGTTTCTTTGAAGGAGTTGATAATGGTTGGTCAGTGGTGCTTGATAGTTCCATTTTGGATTCGGAATTTGTTGTGAGAAACAAATGGGTAGAGATGAAAACAGAGAAATGAAGTGATTTTGGACTTTGGCGTGGTGAAAATGAAACAGAATGAAGGAAAAATAGGAACCTGGTTTGTTCTTGCAGAGAAAGAGAGAAAGAGAAAGAGAGGCGCTGTTTGTTGTAACGGCTAGTTTTTTCGCGTGAGTTGCGTTTTTATATGTGTGTAAAATAAATGAATTAATAAATAAATTTAAAATTCTGTTTTCATTTTAGTTTTTGGTGTCGACCGTTATATTATAATAACGAAGAATAATTTTTTTTTTTACAACATTTTAATAAAAGTTTAAATTAGGAAAATTAGGAGAAGGCAATTAATTACTTACGAGATAGACCATTAACTCCAGAGATGATTTACAGTGAATTTACATACGACATACCAAATGAAAATTTCTAATTACGAACACATGAGTGAATTTATATGAAATTATTTTAACTTAATTAATAATTTTGTTTACAATATCGTGTTAAATGCTGTAAAAAAAATGTCGTGTGAAATAAAAAAATAGAAAATTCTGATTACCAAAATCTAAGTTACGAAAGACTTGATTAAATGAAATAACCTCTTAACATATTTATTACTTTTTTACTTTTTTAGTTATTAAAATATGCAATTTATATATATTAAAATTGTATATGATAAAGAATATATTCCAAAATGTATTGATAATATTTTTTATAATGATATTATGATCGGTGATCAGTATTAGATATTGAGGAATATAATTTTGATGGATAAATAAAAATTCAATAAATATGAGATTAAATAAGGATTTTTTTCATTAAATAGTTGCAAACAAATACTAAGGGGGTGTATTGGTTTATGATTTTATAGGATTTTAAAAGACTTTTTTTGAATAAAAAAGTCCATTGGTATTCAATCAGGATTTTATGTCACTTAAAAATAATTCAGTGGTATTCAATCAGGATTTTCAAGATTTTTTAAAGAGTCCATTAAAATTTATTGGTATTCATTTGAGACTTTTTACAACTTAAAAACAATTCATTGGTATTCAAAAATATAGGAATTTTAAAGGATTGTTGTATTAGAGGGATTTTGATGGACTTTTTAGTGGTATCTATAAATATCAAATTTATAAAACAATCTCATCCAAACCCATAAGATTTTAGAGGATTGTTTGAAGTGACTTTTCAAGTGCTTCAAGAATGTTCAAGTGAGTTTTTCATTTTTTTTTCTATGCTCATGTCTTCTCCATTTTTTTTCTCTTATTAATAATATTGCACTACTATTTATATATAATACTGTACTACTGCTCTCATTCTATTCCCCTATTTGGTGAAACTTCTACACGTAAATAATAGTGTCATTAACTTGCTCAATTTTTCTCTCCGTTCTCTTTAATTGACTTGCTCGATTTTGCTCTATTTAATTGAAATTGTTCCTCAGTTATATAACATAAAAAATACTTGAAATTTTAACTTTTAAGTAATAATTTTTTTTATACCACACATCAAGAAAAGGGAAAGGTGAAAGCTAAAATTGATATCATGATCTTTATAATCAACTATAAATCTTCAAGACCTTGTAATCAATTTAGATTTATTAGAACAATATATATATATGTAAAAGATGAATTTGAGTAGGGTTTATGTAAGTAGAATGAGATAAGAATGAATCTTAGTTGGGAGAAGAACCCTCTCAACACAAGAACTGCATCTCTCTCCCTTGCTTGAATTTGTTATTGTTATCCTTCCCCTTTTATGACTTAACAATTATTTTATTTCTTTTTTTTACTATGAATTTTTTTATTATTAATTTTTATATTATGAAATTAGGATTTTTATATTTTAAAAAAGAAAATTAACATAAGACATTGCAGTATCTTATAATTTAATACTAAAAATATTTCTTCACGAGTGAATAATTGAAAGCAATTAAAAATTAAAAAAATTATTTTGTACTTGTAACAAATTTCAAATATTTTTTTTTCTCCCAATTGATGTTTGTAAATTTCTACTTTAGTACCGATATAAAATGAAGGGACATGTTTAGTTATAAGAGAGTAGGGTAGTTGTCCCACTATTTTTTTTAATCATTTATAAAATTATACATAAAATATTTTAAATCACAAATTATAAAAAAATTGAAATGTTGTTTAAAATAATTTTTAGTATGTGTGAGACTACATAACTTTTTTCGTAAAGAATGTCATTATGATGAATTTCCAATTGAAGTGATGAACGAACCTTCATCTTCAACATTACTGGTTAATGAAAATCATAATTTTGAGTCTATTATTAAAACACGAGAGCAAGAGCGAAAAAATACTAATATTTGGAGGACTAATATAGCTATGAATATGTGGGTTAATTCTATTTAGAACGACATGATATTACAAAAAATATTATTATTATTTATCTAGACATTATTATTATTTTTATTATTTTTATATTTGACTCCTTTTAAATTTGAATGTATGAAAAAAAAAAATCTTGAATTCTTATCCTATGTAAAAATTTTATGAAATTCTACGAAGTTTACAAAGTCTCGCAGAATCCATTACAATCCTATCCTGATTTGAAAGTCTTGTGAAATCATACGTAATGAGGATTGAACTTAGGTCCTCATACTTCTAACTACCCCAATCCCTCCCCACCCAACCACTAGGCTAAAACATAACTCCTTTGATTACACGTTACTTTTTTAAAAATACTTAAATTTAATCAGATGAATTTGATGCAATATTTTGTGGAGGGAAGGAGGTTTTTTTTTTTTCCTCCCCGAAGTTAGTGATTAGTGTAGTGAGTTTTATTTTTGAAAGATATGTTTTCTTCTCAAAAATACTTTTTTTTTCCTCTCACTCTCTAATTGTTTAATCTGTTTAATTTAGTTTATTATTAAAAAGTTCAGTTTGGCTCCTTAGTTTTTAAAAATAATACAATATAATCATTTTTGTCTAATTAAGTTTAACAACAATAACATTTTATATATATGATAAATTAAAAATGATACGCATCAATTAACATTTTGCATATATGATAAAATTAAAAATGATAAGCATCAATCCTCACATGTACAAAAGTCTAAATTGTTAGTTTTAATTGGACAAAAAAATAATATTTAATTACTTTAAAATTAAAATATTAAATTAAATTTTTTAATAATAAAGAGACTAAATTGAACCAATTAAATAAAATAAAGGATTAAAATAATAATTTAACCTCTTTTTTCCAGGTGAAAGTAATCTTTATTATGTTTATCATATGGAAATAGAATTAAGAAAGAGAAGAAAAAAAATGAAAAAATGGATAAAAAACCAAAAAATAAATATCATAGGATTATTAGACACTTTTGTTTAAAAATGTTGTAAAAATTATATTATTTCTATAACTGATTATATATATATATATATATATATAATATTTTAATAATCAAATATGATCAAAATAAATTTTGTTTCAATAAGTTTGTTGAAAAGTGATTTTAAAATATTTAATTTTAGTTGGATAAAAAAATGCTTTTAAATAGTAAATCAACTTTTAGGGGAATGAAAGTTGTTAAACAATAATTATAAGCTTGAAAATTTCAAATTCATGTAAACAATGTATTTTAAAAAAGTTGTTTACAAATTTCAGTAGTTTTCTCAAAGTTACAATTTTAATTTTTGTTTTTATCACCGAATACATAGATCATCTAGTATGAAGTTGTTTCAATATAATCAATAGTTTCAAGTTTGAATTTTTTACAATCAATAATGATCCTATCCTCTTGGAAGAAGATTGTCTTTAATAAAAGATATTTATAGTTTATAAAAAATATATTTTTATTACAAAATTTTTTTTCTTTCTAAAAAAAACCATTTAAGTGGTGGGAATTAATCTTTTTCCTATGCTAAGTAGTCGGAAATTTAACCATTATAAATTATTTTTTATTGATTTGATTTGGTTTAAACTGGATAATTCTAAATTCAAGGTAATATTTTTAACTTTGGTTTCATGAGTTTAATTTGTTTGAATAAATTAAATAGTTTATTTTTAATCATAATATTTTTAAAGTAAATTTGATATGTTAAACTAAAGAAATAATTCATTTATGCAAGTTTGTATATTTTTGCCACATATGATTGTAGAGGAGTATGATAGTTTGTCATTGCTGCTTCCTACTAATAAAGTTGTTTCCATACACACTTTTTATGGGTAAATACATTAAAGTTAAATTTGCACAAAAAGATATAAAGCTTTAGTTTTACATCCATTTGATGGTACAACTAACTTGACTTTAGTTAGAATACTCATCACTAATCTTTTCCTATAGCATATGTGTTTAATCATTTAGATCTCATGAATGACATATATGTTGAAGATAAATTCGAAAAGGTATTTGAGACCATCATTTAAATTGACTCTCATTTAAATCAACCCATACACATAGATAATATATTCTAGGGTGTGACCGATACTGTCACATTTAAATATCCTAACAAATTTTTTATGCGACCTAAATAACTCTACACATTTTGCATCATTTTCAAACCCCTAAAAAAACTACCCTTATGGCATGTTGACGCTCTTTCATTTCTTTATTGTTACTTTATCAAAATACCTAATGACTTGGATGTTGGAGTGCTTACAATGTCTTTTTTCTAAGGTGTTATCTTATCAAATTAAGTTACAATTTATTGTCTTGATTTGTACTTAATGCTTGAACAAAACTAATTAAGAATCAAATTATTGGCCACAGGTTAAAATGACTCTAGATTAGTGTCACTCAAAGGAACCACTTTATTTTATGCAAACTTAATTAAATGACTGTGTAGTGCATCTTTTCAACCCAATAATTATTAGCTTGAAAGTTATGCCACAACCCAATAATTAATAATTTGCTTGATATCTTTTTCTAGTCTATGCAAAAGTGTCAAATAATTAGCAATTTAGCGCTAAATGACCATGTAATGCATTTTTAAGCAAAAAGTTTTAAGTAAGGTTATAAAAAAAAGTAGAACATAACTAAACTAATAGTGAATTCAATTAAACTATGTAATACCTCGATTTTCACAAATTATACGAAGGCTCAAAGGTCAATAAGGGTGATTTAGTAGTCTAGAACGGGTCGTTCCCAAACTGGAAAGGGCCGTTCCAAACTACTAAAAAGGCCTATAAACT